ATTTACTTACCTGCCATCTAAAAATCTGCTTGGAACTACCATTGGATTACCATTGGATTCCTCCAAGAGAATATTCTAGGGCGCATTCAGCTTACATAATTTGAGAAATTAATGGCATACGTAAAACCTATTTAAAACAGCATTTATCATATTCAAAAGCGTTGAGCATCAATGATTCCCAGCCCTCTGAAGTTTGAAAAATAAAAATACCTGGGTGTTAATCCATGGATTATCTTTGAAAACGAGAAATATATTTTTGGATTACATGGTGTAATCTTAAAGTAAACAAAATGTTTTAAAGTGTATTGATGTTTTTTGGATGAAAAACATAAGCAAAATTCATGAAAAAAATCCCCCGATTCATTCTACAAACAACTCGTCCTCCTTTTATGAAGTTTTGAATTTCAAACTCGACAGTTTTTCGCTTATTTCATGTTATCCATGGGCGTCGATTTGCAAAGACTACGTTCAAAATAAACATTACTGAATACATCACCGAATGCGACGCTTACATAAATCTTTCATGCTTTTATTGATACGCAGTAGTAGAAAATAATGCACCTACCTTAGCTTTCTGTTTCATCGTGGCCATTTTATTGGATAACTCAGTGATCGTATTCGACTAACCTCGTTTTCAGAGGTGGCGTATCCGTCATGCTATAACACCGTGCACATACGCCACAAAAGCAAGACCAATTTGAAAGTAAGTTCATTATTATATTATATTCTCAAGGGTACACTTCAAGTGAAAGCTACATTGCTACAGGGTGGCCTATCATTCTGAGACAAATGTATTATCCAACGATTATGATTTTCGAAGCTAAAATATGATATCTTGAGCAGATGGAAATACATTCCCATGAGATATGTATATATAGTCAAAAGTGATAAATGTTTATTGAGTGTAATGAAATGTATCCTTCGCTAACTGCTTTTGTTTGAGATAATTATCATAAAATATATTTTAATTAATTTTTATGTGTGTCATTGATCCTAATCCACCCTGTAGTCTGGTGTTTGTAGAGCATTGCGACTCGTACATTCGTACTTATTCTCACAAATATCAAACCTCATTTGCTAATTAATTTTTTGTGTGAATATGAAGAGTCCAAGCATTGCTTTTTTAGGTTTATTGTATAGCTATATTCAGCCTTGATATCCATGATTTTTTAAAACAAAATCTCACCGTTAGATTTCGAGCTATTCATGTTTACTCATTTTTCTAATTGGAAAACAATGCAAATCTCATTTTTTCAAAAGAAAAAAATTGAAATTCTAAGACGGTGAAAAATCATTAAAAAATACACAGATTCAGAATCCGGCAAGCATTTTCCCTTATTCCTCTCCGTTAAGAAGTTTTGTAAGGTGTTGGATCCCTTTAAGCATCATTACATCATAGTAACGAAACTTTCTTCCAAGGTGATTTTTTGTTCAGCGAACATTACGAGTATTACTTATTGCTTGTATATGTTTGGGTGTTACTGAAACATATTTTTATTATTGTGTAAACAACAACCACCAATTAAAACGTTCTAAAAAGTATGATCATTCTTATAAATATACACTATAATCCAAGTTTTACTAAATGTATACATGATTACGGTTTTGTGACAAAAAGTATTTACTATATACTTTGATATTGTACATTTGTATTCCTCCTAAGTGATAGCAATCGTGTAAAAAACATGTTACGGATTCACCTGATGTTTTTTTTCATTGCGATGTGAATAATCACTGGAAATGACTACCCAATCTTGGTTAATACACTGAATTTGTTATCATTATTTTTCTGATTTAAACAAAAAGTACATACAGAAATCCTCGTTACTTTATGATGCTAAAGTTGAGATATATTTTTTCAGAAATGTCTTCAGTAACCGCAGGAAAAACACAGCCCATCAGGTTTTCCCTAGTTGAAACTTTCCATTTAACTCAAAAATAATATATTTTCCTTCGATTGTAATCCAATATAGAAGTTGCTATATATGACACATTTCTGATCAATGGAAAGATTTACAATTTAAAAACGAATGGTTAATTTTAAGACCATGTCATTTTGCTTTGCTGTAGATATTCTGAAGTTTTGTTTGATATTGAGAATATAGACACACATTACAGAAATATAAAGTATTTTATATACAAAATTAATTGATTGGATCTTAAGTTCACGCAATAAACTAAATATATATTAGTAGTAACGGAGGTTTTTATGTCTTATTCCAATAAATTTTGGTTGATGTATAATATGCCATATCTTGAAAACGAGGAGGAGATTGTTGAAAATATTTCACAGTATTATCTATCAATATATGTTCTTTTGTCTCAACAAAAAATAATCAGTGCTACTCTGACTTCAAAAATCAGATTTTTCAAACCTGAATTGGGACATTTTTTGAATTTGGGTGATTAAGTTCAACAACTTGGAAGATATTTAGTATGCCTGCAACTTTAAAATAAGGAGCCGTGTTATCTCTAGATTTGCAAAAAGTATTCTAATATTATAAATTGCTTTTGTAATCTATGGATTTTCATAAGATATGAAGGTGGAACATTTCCCCAGATTATAATATTGTAGTTGATATACGAATAAATGAGGGAATTATATATTGTTTTTAGGGCTTTGTAATCTAAGTTATGTTTCACTCTATGAAGTGCTGCAAGAGTCTTGGAGATTTTTGTTTCAACATGCCTCATATGAGGTTTCCAGAGAGATGTTCATCTTTAAGAACTCCAACAAAATTACTAACATCAGTCATTTGCAAGACAGTGTTGTTCATGGATATTTAAATGTTGTCATAATCAATGACTTTCTGTGGAGATTTAAAGACAAGATAATTAGTTTTAGAAGAGTTGAGAGAAAGCTTGTTGCAGTTGAACCATTCACTTATAAATTATAAGTTATAATAATAAGTTCATGATTTATGGACAAGTTAAGTTGTTCAACTAATATATTTGTATCATCTGCATATTTAAACATTTCAGCAGCATCAGAGGAAATTTAGATGTCATTAATATAGATAATAAAGAGGAGGGGACCTAAATTGTTCCTTGAGACACTCCAAAAGACAAATTAATGAAAAAGTACCGTCAATTTCAACAACTTGAGTTCTGTTTGAGAGGTAACTTTTGAACCAATCGGAGGCAGTTCCCCGAATTCCATAATGATCTGATTTTTGTAACAGAATATCGTGATTTTAAGTATCAAATGCTTTGGATAGGTCACACATAATCCGAATACAATGTGACCTATCTCCCATTGCCCTTCTTACAGACTGCCATGAATGTAGAGTTATCTTTTTTGAAGCCATATTGATGAGCATTAAGAATGTTTTGTCTTTCTAAAGATCTACAATTCTTGTGGCCGTGCATTTATCATAAAGTCATGAAAATACATAAAGAATAAAAATGTTCATCCTGTCTTTTTATGGATAGGTTTCACTTTAGCAAATTTTAAATCACCGGGGAAAATACCATGGTGGAAAGATTAGTTGATAAGATAAGATGATCTTATCGTGAAATACTCGAAAGCTGGAGCTTTGTCGAAGCAACATACAACAGAAATAATAAAGATATACTAGTAATAATTAATATATAGAAATGGTGCATACCTGTATTTGTATTTGTATCTGTATTTGCCTTATAATATACCGTTATTCCTTGTTACTCGTTTACTTGTTAGTTCTTCCTATACACCATTATTATCTAATACGACGGATGTCAGGTTCGCTTAAACGGTTTGCTTTATTTTAAACCCACATGCGCACACGTTAGTCATTTAAACTATATTTTTATAATTTGATGACGTTAATATCTACAGGGCGTATCAAAAAAATGCAACAAACATTGCAAAAGTCAGTATGTTGGGCAGTGTTAGCAATTCCTCCACCAGATATTTCAAAACTTTCTCAGCCTTAACCCATTGATGACTTAGAGCTGAGCCATGTATGACATGGAGTGATGAGCGCATTTTGTATGCTAAGAAGTGGTTGCAATTTGGAGAGTTGTAAGATGTATTCTTGTAACAAGTATGAACACTTTACTGTCTATGTGACACCTGCCACAGCTTCTTCCAATAGACCCTATGCTTTTGAAATGTTTTAAACTTGGTCCCGAGCTGATTTTGCCCCATTTTGTGAGAGCAATCATAATTTGGCCTACCATGAATCCATGTGATTGAATGGCATACCATTGTAAAGAGGAGAAATGTGGCTATGTGGTACATTGAATAAAAAGAATGCAGTCATCACTGGTTTTATGTTTTCTTCCAAATGCACCTGGTCTTTCGCGATGTTTACAACTTGGTCCCAATCTAATTTTGGTCCACTTTTGAAAAAAAGTCGCCCAACCATGACCCAATGTCAATAAATGACATACCATTGGAAAGAGCAGACACATGGCTTTATGGTAGATTGAATGAAAGCAATGCTGTTATCACTGGTTTTAGTATTCCGAGATAACAATTTGTTGCGTTTTTTATACGCACTGTATAATTATAGGAGAGCACTGCCCTACCCATTATCATTTGGGAATTCAGATACCCAAATATACACATTTGAGCAAAATAATCAATACATACCCTTGATTACATGAATATCGACCATCCCAGCAATAAAAAGGTGTTTCAAATTATGTTCTAAACCGAATCTATCACAGAAAAAACACCTAGAATGATGGGAATGAATTCTAGAATTATTAGGCATGCGCGAGAAAAATAACCAGTAAATAGCGGCTCGAGTTTGTCATTCAATTTGTTGCTAGCTAGCATTCGAGCCATGTGGTTTGTGCCTGAGATTGTAGACAGCATCTACTAGAAGTCCCCATATCCCATATTTAGCATCGTCGCTTTCCACTGGGTCTAGAGATCAAGATGATATTTAGTTTAACCATAATGTCTTGTACTCTGCGAGTACAAGACATGAATCCTTTAGATAAGACGGGAGATAAGAATGCACACAAAATGTACTTCAAGGTCACGCTGTATATTTGATCAAGACTACACTATTTTCATTTCAAGAATATTCGATAAGTAACTGATATTTATATTGGATAGAAGCCGGTAGTGAGCAGTGTTATTGTATTACAGTTATAAACACAGGAGCATACTATTTTTCAGGTTACGTCTTTTTAGGACTTGAATAGCTTCTTAAACTTTTCTGCACGAATATGGCAAACACAGGGTTTGTATTTACATGGTCTTATATTGTTAATATCATTACTTTACTACTTTATTTTTTGAATGAGTACTTTCATATAATGAGTACAGCACTTTTAACGTCGTTGTGTCACTATTCATTAACTTTAGGCGAATAAGTGTGGTTGTTATAGGCAACGGGTTTAATGTAAGAATGTAATGATGGCAAAACGCATGCAAGCTTGTGAAGTAAAGTAAGGTATCGTATTGCTATGTCACAACAGAAAGATATGACCTATTGTTATTGCCACTGTTTTTGTGACCAGCGCAGGCAGTCGCGATGTCGGCGTCTTAAACAACAATTACACCTCTCTTGAGAAATATATGCATACAGTTTAATCCTGGTTATATACTTTGGGAATATCATATATTAAGAATTCTTAATTAGTTCTGACAGAGTCTTGATATACCCGAGTCTTTATATGCTGTTCTCTTGTACTTGCACACATTCATTATTTTAAGGCTTTGTGTTGAACATTGTTAAATCAGAGACAATAGCTATAGTATTTTTATGTCTCAGATTAAATAGACAAGACAATGCGTAAATGTTATAACAGTCTTCTTAACTAATATTTAATGTTGTTATTGTGGCAATTATCACCATTGCATGCTTCGAATGGTAAGAAATATCGCCGGTATCGGTACCTGAATTTTTTGATCAACTGCATGTGTTATAAGGCTGAAGGAGACGTTTGCATTATGCTCCCGTGATCCGGTGAATGAAAAGAATGACGAAAAAATTCAGTATGTTCTATATTTCAGTTCCATATTCTGTAATGACACGCTGCTCCGTGTCGTGCAAAATTCAAACTTGTTCGAGGACTCGAAGACCTTCGTAGATCTCCGACTAAGGACGACGCCAGGTATGCTGTTTATGCGGTCACGTGATTACTGTTGTTGTTAGGGAGTTGAAAGATAATGTTATTCTTAAATGTACATTTATGATGTAGGTTAATTTGTGTGAATGATACAATAAATACTGAAGGTTGATGAAGAAAGTAAATTGCTAAGTTGAACTGAGAAATGACAATCAGAATCTGCATACTTAGTACCCAGGCTTTTGACTTACCTCATTCCCATATCTTGGCTACGACATGAATAAACTACATTGCAGATGAGACATTGAAAGCATTTGCTGATTTGAACAAGAACGGCAGGGAACCTACAACTGATGAGGTCCACACTTTTGTGAGAACCTACTTCGAAGGCCCCGGTACAGAACTCATCCAACATACTCCAGAGGATTGGAATCCCAAGTAGGGCATTGGCGAGTTTTACCAAGTCAGCGTATAAATATAGTCCATGCAAACTTGCAAACATCAAAAATCAAAGTTCTGTGATAGATCCTCATTCTGTGAAAGCAATACCTGTTTATATTTCAATGAGTTTTGCAAAGTAAACTTATTGAACATAGCTCGTCTGGCAATTCAACTTTGAAAAAATCAGCTGACTGCTGCGACTTATATTTTCTATAATATGTTTTTATTTTATTAAAAGCAGAATCACATATAGCGAGCAATACGTGATACTCGCGATATGTCTTTTATCTACTAGTATTCAATTCAAAATTTGATTAAGCGATCGCAATATTCGAATTCTAGGAATGATGTTCTTATACATTTTACAGTCCATATATTGTGGGAAAAGTTGTCAACCCTGATATGAAAATATGGATGGCTGATCTGAACGCAAAGTGGAAGGATCTAAGTCGAAAGGTAAATGGTTAATATATATATGAGGTGAACATGAAATAGATTAGGGGGTATCAAAGGGAGTTGTCTACGTTGATTATACCGTTGACGTTTTTTAAACTAATACAACCCGAGTCTGTGTCACTCCAGAGAAATTCGATCTTCTGCATACTTTACCTCCGTGTCTTGGCCGTTCGTATACGAAAGGGTTGATTTAACATCTGTTGATTCAAAGTAAATCGAAACTCGAAGACTACACGTGTATATTTTACCGTGCGTAGATTCATAAGGACGTACATGATCACCCAGAGCGCCATTCTTTGATTCCACTTCCTCATCCATTCGTCATCCCAGGTGGCAGGTTCAGAGAATTATATTACTGGTGAGTGGTGGCATTTATTGTTTAATTGTGTTATAAATTAATGTTTCCTCCATTCTAATGATGTATAATATATTGTGATAGATTCCACTTAACACAATGTTACATATGTCACTGGGGGGTATCGTGATGCAACAACACCGTGTTGTTGCATCAAGATGGCCAGACTTCCGGTGATCGATTTTCGTACGATGTTTTGTTTTTCCAATTTACACCCATTTCTAGGACGAGTTGCTCAATAATCATACACATGCAGTTAGCGTATGATCTATATTTTAAAAAACTGTCATTGGTATACATGTAGCATCATCAAGAAGCGATAAATTCGTGGTTTTAATTCCTCACTATTGATGCAACAACACCACTCTGTTTCTTATCGATGATGCAACAACACCAATGTGCTGATGCAAAAACGCCAATATAATGTATCATTGGACAACAAGAGAAACTGTTTTATGTTCTGTTTACAGGTGTAGGTCGGGACATGAATAAAACGCGTGAGTCAGTGGTCCATGAACGAAACGTATTTTGTTTGGTTTCTTTGTCTATATCAAAGTTAAAAGGATATACAAGGCAAACTAAATAAAGTACAGAATCCCCGGGAGGCAATCTCATTGATATTGTATCTGAAAAATAAAGATTATGCATTTTCTAAATTAAATGCCCTTGATTTATCGTATGGAAATTGCTTACAAATAACTAATATAATTTTGGAAAGACAACAGATATCAGTCATTTTGTGTTATTAGTACCTCAATTGAAATGCTCAATTCTGATTGGTTGATTAGCGGTTAAAATTATGTACTGTTGACCACTACTAGGTACTGTTGACCGCTACTTCTGAAAAAAAATTTCATGACGTCACAAAAAAACATGGAAGACGGACATTTTGTAAACGTTAGTGAAAATGACTTTACTAGGCGACAAGTATAGCAAAAATACAAATAGAAACTTAAAATTAACATTAATTCACTAACGAGTACGCCGTGATGTGCCAAATACAGAGTTAAGCTACTTGCACTGTCTCCAGATTTTCTAAAAAAATATTGCTAACGTGGTTCGGAGAAAAGGTTGTGAAATGAAGCCATGCCGATTAATGATTGTCGTCTATATGTGTATTATTAGTTTACTCAGACTAACAAAACAATTGTAGACCTCTCCATTCGATCAACCGTCAAAATCATATACCTCGACTGTAAACCTCGACCTTCGGTCTCTGTCAACAGTAGTTTTTCGTATACAGTCTCGGTATACAATTTTGCCGGTTGACCTCTGGGGAGGTCAACAATTGTAAACTGTTGACCACTTCTAGGTACTGTTGACCCCTATTTTTGAAAAATTGTTTTTTTAATGTTGAATTTTTTTTAATTTTGAAAAAATAAGTTGTGTAAAAAATTACAAGTATTCGACGGCTTGGAGATACCTTTACTTATCAAATATGTTCACGTGACATTCGATTATATATTCGTCCAATTATTATATTATTTGGACTAACAGAACAATTGTTAACCTCTCTTTTCGGTCAACTGGCAAAAGTGTCCTCGACCTCTGGTCTTGATCAACAGTACTTTCAAGGTTTACAGTATCGGTATACAATTTTGCCAGTTGACCTTAAGAGAGGTCTACAATTGTATAATTTATATCCTTCAAATTATGATATTCTTCGGACTAACAAACAATTGTCAACCTCTCTATTCGGTCAACTGGCCAAAGTGTATACCTCAACAGTAAACCCTGAGAGTACTGTTGACCTCGACCTCCGAACTTTCAAGGATTACAGTATTGGTATACAGTTTTGCCAGTTGACCTCAATTGTATATTGTATATCCTTTGTTATCCCACCCAAAGTATGATGTCATGTATCAAGTTGAAGAGTTGTATACGCTGCTCAGGAGTTTACGCTATCCAGGAGTTGTACATCGTTCTCAAGAGTTGTGTAGGAAGAGTGTTGGTTTAATGATATTGCAGTTATACCGCAATGCTATTATATAAAGGTTATTTACTGAGAGGGATTCAATATTGGTTTTATTCCGAGAGACAATATGATATTTCCCGAGGGTCCGGGATATCTGGGATAACTGTACCCCTATCAATTTACCTTTTTGGGCCCTTAATCTTATCACTTTTGTTTACCTTTTTACTCAGTCGGAGAGAAGGAATCCAAAGAGAGCAATAATTGTACACGTGCGTCGTGCAAGACTAAACGGCCTCTCTAATAAAGTCAATTAGACGTTTTTACACGTTGGCTCTCCAAATTGGAGGAGATAAAGAATCAAATCATATTATATCATAGATGAAGCAATCATTCCATCAACATAAGCTCACGAATGTCACAGTTAAACTGTTTTAGTTATAATTTGATAAACAGTGGTAACGTACATCTACTAGTTCATCACTGTTCCACAGATGGATGACAGATAATTTCCAATAGCTCATCATGTTTACCGAGAACGAAAGATGTTTGTCCACCATTTTGAATGATACTAACTGGAGTCAGGGTCATCAAGCTATGGAACAGTGGTTTATGAAAATAGATTGGGTTACTAAAGCTTGTCATGTTAAAGGCGATTGAACTATGTTATAGAACAACGTCCAGTACATTATAATATTTAAAACTATAATTTTTTTGAAATACATATAAAGGATCTTCGCCCGCAGGACGTGTATTTTGAATGCCTTGAGAAGAACGCAAATATGGGTAACGGTGTTGCAATAGTAGCATTTAAAAATCTGTTCCTCTCGAGATTTATGGTCTTCTGAAATTATACTATTAATTGGTGTTGCTGCATCATTGCTCAAATCTAGAGGGGTGTTGTTGCATCTTCGGTTTGGTGTTGTTGCATCAATAGTGAGGAACTAAAACCGTGAACTTATTGCTTCTTGGTGATGGTACATGTATACTAATGACAGTTTCTTTAAATATAGATCGTGCGCTAACTGTATGTGTATGGTTATTGAGCAACTCGTCCTAGAAATGGGTTTAATTGGGGAAACAAAATATCGTACGAAAATCTATCACCGGAAGTCTGGCCATCTTGATGCAACAACACGGTGTTGTTGCATCACGATACTCCCCAGTGATATGTGACTCATTCTTAAAACTTCATGCCCCTACACGCCCTTGCAATTTAGCGTATGTTCTGTTCTTACACATGTTACAGGCATCTGAAAATATAAATATCGGGAGGTTAACACAGCTGTAACTTTTCGTTATACAACGCCTCCTTGTGTTCAATGAAATCTGGATATCCATATATTTCAGGGACTCATACTGGGTTATCAATGGACTGTTGTTATGTGACATGTTCCCTACTGTAAAGGGAATGCTATCAAACCTCCTGTACATGGTTCAAAGGTACAATACCAATTTCACATTTACGTATAGTATTTTGGTTTTGGATATTTTGATGGCTGCACATGTAGTTCTGTAGCAATAGTGGTATCGATAATACGATTTATGAGATTATTTTTTTGCTTGTAATTAATTTTTCCTGCTTGTTATTAATCTTTCGACTGCTGCAATAGATTATTCTTAAATGACACCCAATTTCTTATTATCTTTGGTAGGTTTGGCCATGTCCCTAATGGTACAAGAGTTTATTACATAACCAGAAGTCAGCCCCCATTTCTTATCCCGATGGTTGACGCATACGTACGCCGTACATCCGATCTGACTTTTTTAAAGGACAACATACATCTTCTTGAAAAGGAGTATAACTTTTGGGAAGATAACCGTACCATAGAAGTCATCAAAAATGGTGAAGTCTACAAAATGGCCCGTTATAACGTTGACCAACCCATTCCAAGGTGTGTACCACTGTTATCCACATTAAAAGATGATTCTTTATACAATGCCAATGTCTAAACATTAAGTTTGAGATGGGTTGCTTGAACGATGCAACTCTCTCATTGTATTATGTTTTGGAATATTTTGTTGCACGTTTAGACCAGAGTCATACAGAGAAGATGTCAAGACTACTGCTGGACTATCCCAAGAACGCAAGAGAGAAATATTTTCCAATCTCGCTTCAGCTTGTGAAAGTGGCATGGACTTTTCTACAAGGTGGCTTCCAAATCCCATTGCCGACAAAAACACGAATATCTTAAAAAGCATCAAAACAAATCGGATAATTCCCGTGGAATTGAATGCTTTGTTGTATTGGAACGCGGTCCTCCTATCTAACATGAACGCAATGTTGGGTAAGTGTGTTACTTTTAATGTTCTTTGAATACCATTACTGAGGTCATAGAAAAAATAATGTCACCCGAAAGATCATTTGTGAATGTATGAATATATGTATGAGTTCATTTATTTATCTGTCGCTCAATCGGTCCATCATAGACAATTTTCATTTGTTTATCATAATTATTATGTTCCATGTCTAATACAAATAATAGTTCCTGCTCAATTGTCACTATCTTTAACGTTTTCTGAAAATAACCTTGAATACAAAATACAAATACATGTACTCATTTATTTATTCATTTGCAGGTCTGACTGATCAGAAAGAAATGTTTCGTAAAAAAGCAGAACTTCGTCAGAGAGCAATTGATGCCGTTCTTTGGAACGAATCGAGGGGAATCTGGTTAGATTATGACATTGACCTTCAGACCAGTCGAGATTTTTTCTTTGCATCAAACATCATTCCCCTGTTTGTGGGTTGCTATGGAAACGAGAGTGATATGAACAGCAAAGTTGAAGTTGAAGAGAAAGTGATCAAATATTTAAAGGTTGGTAACTGCGTAGATTTTAAGAATGTGGTTTAGTTTGTTCTTTCCCTTTAAGTTTTTTGGGTTCATTTTTCATACCATTTGCACTTAAACTTTATAAAGTTCCCAGGTCTTTAACCGCTTACCAACCTTAATGAATTATAATTATTCGAATTGCAACGTATGTTCCGATTGTGGAAATTGATGTCACGATGCCATCTTTCACACTGCGTCTTTATTCTGCTCTTTAGGATGAGAAGGTCCTTGATTATCCAGGTGGGATGCCAAGTTCGAAGATTGAATCTGGTGAGCAATGGGATTTCCCAAACGCCTGGCCCCCATTACAACAAATGATAATAGAAGGCCTATCTAATACAAAGAGTTCACGAGGACAATATTTAGCTAGAGAGTTGGCTGAACAGTGGGTGAAGGTCAATTGGAAAATATGGAAAGAAAATGGGAACATGTATGAGAAGGTATTGTAGTTATTATTAAATGAGATAAAGCACTGTCAAATAGATTTTATATTTTAGAAAAAATATTTCAATACAAGTTGTTTTGATTGTTATACAGTTATTGCTGAATGATTGAAAAAATATTCCCTGTGGCTTACAAATATATTTTACAACAGTGTGCTATCTTACTTCTTCTGTGAGAGGGACTTTTATGAATTTTTAGTACGATGTGACTATGGGGGAGGCCGGTAGTGGAGGAGAGTACGACGTCCAGACAGGCTTTGGTTGGAGTAATGGTGTCGTCATGATGCTCCTCGACAAATACCCAGATTTACTCTTAGAAGGATGAAAGTACATATTATCAACATGAACACTAATCCAGGCGATACATGAGTAACAAACATGCGCTATTTCTGTTTTATATCTATATTTTAGGAATGCCAAATTATTGGACTATAGTGGGCCATATTAAATTTAATTAATCGTTGTTCCTGTATAGGAAATAAAAACAAAGAATATGTTACTTCATAGATATATTCTAGAAAAAGATGTCGCGAGATTCAAACGTTTCATAGTCACTTCTATTAGTATCTATAAAGTTTATCATCTTTACAGTGGACTCTTACGTGCGAGTGGTTTGTCTGTTCACGAAACAGTGGAAATAACCTTTATCTACATTCCATGATTACCAGCCAGGAAGAACGCCTGATATCATTCACATTTACAAAACATTCGAGTAATCCATGTCGGAAGTTCAAAAGGCATTTCCTCGATATAAAGTTATTTGTAATTTTGTATTGGTCCCTCTAATTGGAGAGTAGAGACAACGTGTACTTTTTGTTGTAAATTAAAGCTGTTTCATGTCATTATTCTTAGATAATTACATGAGACTAGAGATTGTTCATTAATGTTTCGTTTATCACACGTTGTCATTGACTTGCGTTGAAATGCTCAATTAAATGAGTAACTTCAAAGTATTAGAGATCCTTTAGAGGTAACATAATGGAGAAACACGAGCTGTGGAGACGAGATTTAATTGATTTGACAACTAACATTTACTGGTGAGCAATTGCTTTGAACTTACAGGATGTGCGAATCTCTATGTTGCCATGTTGCAATATATGTATACCACTGGTGATCCAATCGATTACGCTGGTTACCAAAACGGCTCGTTTCGGTAACAAAATGTCGAAATCTCAAAGGTACGATTTTTCTTTTTTCCTTATTTCACGCATTGTGGGGAGAATTCTCACGACATTTTTATCATAAACGTGTGCCAGTATCATATGTCCAAGAAAATGTACATGTTTGCGAACAAATGGTCCAGAAGACAACAGAATCGTCAATTTAATACCTAACTTAACGTAATGTAAACGGAATCGGTTAGAAATGCAGATCTTAACCGTTTTTGAAGTTCCGTTTACGTAACTTAAGTGAGGTATTAAATCGACGATTCTGTGGTATTCTGAACTATTTCTTCGCAAACATATGATACTGACAGAAAAGCGTAATCGAGTGGGTCACCAGTGTAAACAGGGTGATCAATAAATAAGGTATGTGTGTAGCATTTCTTCAGATTTTACCCAATCATCATAACATTTGCACAGAATAATTTTCAAACATTTTTGAATTGATGTATTAAGTTACAGATCATAGTGATATGATTGGTTTAAGTTATGTTTGCCATAGCTACAGAAAGCATGAACACCCGGGGCAACTATCAAAAAAATAATTTTCAGTCGAACCACTTTTGATATTTCAAATCACAATTGAAATGGCATATCATATTCTTATTTTATACTTTATAACTACTCTACATAATGTCATTTATTTTTAACATATAGTTCATGTCTTCTACTCCAGTCTGTGAACAACTAAACCCATTTTTCCATAGCCTGCAACTTTTCCAAGATAGCTGACTTCAAGTCTTCCATGAGAAACTCCCTCAACTCCCTCTTCAGCTCACAATGAAGGTAAAATTGCTAGGGGACAAGTCAGGATAGTATAGTACATGACCTAACAGTGGGAAACCCAGTGCTTCAATGGTTTGTACTGTAAAAATAGCAATTGTGAGATGGGGCATTATCCCAGTGCAATGTGATACATTTTCAAGGCCTCTTCTTCCTTTTTGCTCTTATCAAATCTCTTCTTTGGGTATTGTTTGTGCCGAGCAGACTTTCTATTATAACATCAGTTTTCACTATATATAATCTTTTCCGTGACATCTAACATCAACATTGTAGGGAAATATGTATTAATGGAAACAAAGTATTAAAACAATACATGCTGGCACCCAAGATTATTTCTTTTCAGTTTGAAAAGGAGGCGCTTTTATCAATTTTTTGTTCAAACGCAATGAAATTGCCTTGGCTACCACTGACTCTAGTTGCCAAGGAAACTATAATATTAACTAATCAGATTTCAGTAGTTATATATCTATATGTTTTAGTTAAGAAATGTACAAGGTATACTCTGACCAAATTTTAGGATGTTTGGACCAATATTTACAAAATGCCAGATACTTTTACCTTATTTATTGATCACCCTGTATATTGATGTTCATTTCATTTCTGATCTCTACATAAGTTGTGCACCAAAACATATGGGTGTGTATATTCTGTTGAATCTAAAAGAAAGAACGTATATGATATACATGCATGCACATTGCACATACGGAAGAAAACGGATAAATACACGTCAGCAAACTAAATGCTTCATCCAATATAACACAATGTATTGCAACGATAATTAATTATTATAGAATCTGGAACCATTTGAATCAAAATAAACTCTTTTAACTGTTTTCAGTCAGGATTCCCTCGAAAACACAATTCCACTTCACAAATTGTATATATCATTTACTGTTAACAATGATGAAGAATTAAATATAAATGGAAATAATGTAAAATAGTTTTATGTCACAACCCCATGTGGTTAGAATTCGGCGTCTGTAACATATGGCGTCTGTAACAAGGCGTCTGCAACAAAATGGCATGTGGTGTCATTTTGCATGTTAATACCTTGTCTTGATTTGTCTTCAGCATTTGATGTTTGTCCGCATCAGTTAATATTACATAAGATGCGATCTAATGGAATAAATAATGATATTCTAACTTTATTGAATCCGTATCCATTACATTATAAAGAGAGGGTGAAAGAAATAATACTTTTTCGAAATGGTCAGACCCTGATTTAATCAATAGAGGAATGCCTCAAGGCAGTGAAATAGTTACAAACCCTTTAGTGTCATCCTAGACCAAGAGTTGCTTATGAGCTCATCAATTTTTAACAAACATTCTTACTATGAATAGATTTACATTCCAAGTCAAATTGATTGTGCAGATGTTTACCCCAAATATAGGTACCAACAAACCAGTAAGGCTACATTAAAATGCGACGTGTTTCTTGGCTTCGATATGGTTCAAGCACGTGGAAGGTCTTGAAGCCTACTCTAAGTTGGATAACTGTCCGAGAGTATAATGTGCCTCTAAATATCAACATTTCATTTAGAAAAATAACAATTTAGCTAAAATCAAGAAACGTAATAGTGTGTCCGATATTTTCGAAGCTTGCAATAGAATATCAACTTTCAAGAAAAATATCATAAGACAAGCTGAAACTATTTGATGACGGTTAAGAGCTGACATATTCCTTAAAACTCAGTAACATTTTAATGAAACCCCAATTTATTATTCCTTAAATGCCTTCAGTGTGAAAATGATGGAACCAAACTTATTATAATCTCCATAACCATCGGTTGTTTAGAAATCTTAGTTAATCTTAGAAGTCTTAGACTGTCTAACTCTGTCAGTAAGGTGAATATGTTACCGCACATGGTGACACAGAGCTTAGCAATGATGATAGAATATTTATTCTGAAGCTACTTCGTGATTGACTTACGAATGTATTCTCACTCTCACACCACACTAGAATTAACCCAACTGCATTTGCTTTTGTAAAGCCTCTACAGGCACATCATTGATGAAACATGTCGCCTGTTTTAAGTTATTTAGCCAATTAATACAGACATCAAGACAGATTTGACAAATAAACAATGTAAAGCTATAGATGAAGAGCTATGCAATTAAGAAATTGTTACTCTAATACATCATGAACATTCCCTGCTGTGAAGAAAAGTATGTAAATTGTGTTCACGTTGCAAATCAATTCAATCATTCACGTTCAAAATATAAATCAATGTTTAAAATGCAATTATTCTCAAATGTAATTTACTCCTTTCAATCATCATTTTACGTGACAAAAATAAATATAAATGGCGTTCCATGATCAAATTAATTAACCAATATAACAGTTTCGGTTCTATTTTACTACACAGGTTTTCCCAAAACTGCTCTACTTTTTCAAAAATGCTGCAACTCCAGCTGGGGGGCATGCATGCATGATATTTTGCAGTCGTTCAATGCTATACTAGTTGTCATTCAGCTGAAACATTGTCTTGGAAAGTTTATTTTGCCCTCCTCAAAATACTTGTACATGAGACACCATAAAACATTAACACACAATTGAAAAGTTCGTTACTAGTCCAGATATACTTACTTAAAATGTTTTATCCGTGTCGTTGACTTATACCATATAATAATCATTTCTCACAATTTTGTAATCATGGATCTGTCGAAGAAGAGTGGCTTAAGTAAGAATAAGGTTTCTTCTCGATCTTGGAGGGTAACCTCTAAAGATAATTGGAGTTCATAATGACCTGTAATATATAATGGGAAAATGATTGAGAACCGACATTTCCATTTAGCAAGGACATTTATAAGTCCCTTGCATTTACTGAGCCTATTAATTGTGAGCTAGAAATATCCTTAAAATCCAAATATACGATTGAAAAAAACGATCACGATTTTAGGATATTTACTCTTACAGTTTATTACATTGTTTAGGATTAAGAATCGCCTAACTAATGTTACATCGTGATAAATAGGATGATGCCTTGAATATGAACAATGAGACGTATGCTCCAATTATTACAAACGATTGCTTAATACAGATGTCAGACAATAATTATTATATATAAAAATTATATAATATAATAAAATAATCCAAAATAAAGGCAGAGAAATTTATTTATTTATTCATGTATCTATTTATTTTTGTCACGTAAAATGATGATTGGAAGGAGTAAATAACATTTGAGAAGTAATTTCATTTTAAACATTAACTTATATTTTGAAATATATATTATATGATATATTATTTTTATTATAGAATATATCAAATAGTCCACATTCACTGAGCAGGGTGGGTCAAATTCCTATCAGATACAGTATTTCAAATAATGTGGATTCTTTACACAATCAATCGACCAGCACCTGGGGTATTGTTATATTTTATGTAGAATAGTACAATAACGTCATTTCTAAGGGCGATATAGTGAAATATTGGACCGAGGGCCGCCCAAGGTCCAATATTTCACTATCCAGGACTGAAACAGCAAGAAAATCTTACGCATTGAACGATATCTAATTTCCCGGGGAAAATTGCCGGTCCAGAATATATTCTAGACCGGTCCGTATGGACCACCACTATGACGTCACACATTTCTTAGGTCGATATAGTAAAATAAACGCCTTCTAAACTAGCACTAAAACCCCTAGAACTGGCCCGGCAAGGTGGTAATAATTCAGATTTATCTCTAATAAGTAAAATCAATTCAATGGAATCCATATGAACAACTTAATAATCGTTGATAAGTCAACATTATCGGCAATCGAAACAACGTTAATATATTAAAAATTGATGTTTATAGAATAGAATGCACATAGAATGTTCAAAAAGAAAAGTATTTTTGTTGTTTGCTTTGCTTGTTCCCCAATCCGACTATACTAGTTATGGTTATGGTTATTTATGGTCAAAATACAACATTAATATTAGATCATTCGAATGGAGAATGTTTAAAATCAGAACAGCCATCGAGAAACTGGATTTAGGAAACTATGGATTGTTTTGATCCTTCCTTAGACCGCAACCTTCGGTCTTAGTTTAGATATGGACCGCTATGGTTTATGGAAGAAACACTCTACTTTTGATATATTTTTACAAGCAAACTATTGAGTTCAGTGCTTAAAACCTTAAACATGCTTGCATTATTGGTTCCGTATTGTGTTTTTTTTAGACTTGGTAAATGATCCTATACCGCTAGTACACATTTAGTAATGCCATCACGAACCTACCCACAGAGTGACAACATCATGAACATAAATCAGAAAATAGCGTCATCAATATCATTTTTGAACCTTTGAAATTCATTTGAAAAA